TTCAGACGAAAAAGTTAACTTCTATGATGTTCTGCGTCAAGTCAGTGAGCACCTATCATCAAATGAGAGGCTTTTCCTCTTGGGGGACCTTAATGCCCGAGAAGGAGCAGATCACAACTCTTGGTCAACCTGCCTGGGACAACATGGCATTGGGAAAATGAATGAAAATAGCCAAGGTCTTCTCAAACCTGGACCTTAAGTATTACCTGTGTATCACTAACACTTACTTTGTGGGCAAAGACCACTCTCTTATTGTTAGCAAACTGAATGTGATACCAAAGAGGCTGCATAGAGCCAAGCACAAGTCAGCCAAGAATTAACGTACATAGCACAAAAGTCCAAAGCAAGTGCCTCCATTTTCAAAGGACCTTTGAGCTAGCTATGGCTATGAAAGCAACAACTACAAATGCCGAAGGAACCTGGGGTGAACTAAGAGCAGTCATTCAAGAAACAGCCACAGAAGTATTTGGGGAAAAGGAAATGGTCAAATAGAGACTGACTTGAGGCACATGTGGAAGACATGCTACCACTTGTTGAGGCCAAGAATGCAGACTAACTGAAATACAACCAGAATCCAACAGAAGGTTCCAAGGCTAAGCTGAAACATACCAGGGCAACGTACAGAAAACAAACCAGTACTGGATTGACCTATGTCAAGAGGTACAGTGTGCCTCAGACACATGAAACCTGCGAGTTATGTATGGCGGCTTAAAGAAAGCCCTTGGCCCATCTGTCACTAAAGTCACCCCCCTTAAGTCTAGAGATAGCAAAGTAAAAATCGCTGATAAGAACAAGCAGATGTTACACTAAGTTGAACATTACTTAGAGCTTTACTCCCATGAATCAAAAATTTCTGAAGAGGCACTGAATCAACTTCCAACTCTAAGTGTACTGGCACAGCTAGACAAAGAACCTGCAGCTGAAGAACTTAGCAAATCCATAGACTCTCTAGCACAGCATTTCCCAACCGGTGTGCCATGGCATTTTGGGCTGGAGCCACACTTCCTGCCTGGCTGGAGCCCTGCCCCCCGCCTGCTGCTGCCGCA